TTTAATGAGCCGAAGAGAGCACACGTCACTCCTCTCCTCACAAAATTGCACTGGTTGCCAGTTGCCGCTCACATTAAATTCAAGTCACTGGCGTTTGCCTAGAGAACAGCCACTGGCTTCCTCTTACCTAAACTCACTACTTCAGACTTATGTGCCATCCACAAACTTGCGATCTGCTAGCGAATGTCGTCTTGTGGTACCATCCCAAAGAGGCACAAAATCTCTTTCTCGGACCTTTACCATGATGTTCCCTGTTGGTGGAATGATCTCCCTTACTCAACCAGAGGTACTGAGTCAGTAGCCACTTTCAAGAAACATATCTTTTTTGACGGCACTTGATCCAGTTATACTAACACTTTCTCTTTTCTCTTCTATTCTAAAAAAAAACTGCATTAAATTAAACTGAGAGGGATCATAGCACTTACGTATTGTTAGTTTAACTGCTAAGCACCTCTGCGCTTTGCGGGTTTATTTACATTCCGTTTATATGGAGATTGCGAGTAAGTTAACTATGTAACAGTGTTTTGGCAATGCTGTTGATGTTTGTTTAATCTCTCATTGTGTAAAAGTGTTGTTATGGAATTACTATGTAAATTTACTGAGCTGCTGGGTGACGTTATATTTCACTGTGTAAAGTCAACAGATGTCACACTTTTGTAATGTTTATTTTCTGTTTATTCTTTCAGTCTTACAAAGATTTGAATGGAGGAAACTTAAAGGGGACATATAATGCCATTTTTGTACAAGTTAATATGAATGTTTAGGGTCTAAATGAAAACTTTGTAATATACTTTTATTAAAAATTAGTATTTAGTATTTTAGTATTTCTCATTAGTATTTTAAGAAAACACCATTTTACCTGCTGAAAATCAGCTCTGTTTTCAGCAAGCCGTTTGAGTGCATATGCCTTTAAATAATAAACCCCGCCCCTCTGTTCTGCAGGCGTGAACGCACGTGGAGTGTTGTCTTGACAACAGTTGAAGGTTTTGGAGAGAGAATGACAGCGGGAGTCTCTGAGGACACATCTGCGCAACCGTATCAGTTTGAATTGGAGTAACTGTTTACCGGAACAAGATGACGGCGCAAAGAAGTTTGACAATTAAGGCTTGAGGACGTTTCTGAATGGTTGGTTAACATAATGTTACTTTGATCTATCTTTGTATGCACTGGCAGGGTAGAGTAGTGAGATACGAACGCTGTGTGTTTACTGATGTATACGTTAGTTCATTGACAGATTGACTTACAAGTAATGGTCATGAAAAACTTTTCCCCGCGATTTGCAAAGATTAATATAAAGATTAATAAAACTTTAGGTGCAGAGGGAACATAAACAGTTGGTACCGATTATTTTTTCAGGAGCAGCTTCTTAGCAAAACCAGCTTTATACTGATCCTCATTTATAAAGCAGTCTGGTGAGAAATGATTGGCGCAAACAAGAAAGTATTGACGTTGATCGTGGGGAGTATTCCCTTCGTAAACAAAACTCAGCCACTGCGTCTTCATCGGTTCAAATGTAGGAACATCAGAATGATTTCTGTGTTTGTTATTGCACCCAAGAACAGAACACCACAATCGCTTAGATGCCATTCTGCTCCAGTGTATCAACAATGACAGACTATAGCCTATGATGACAGCTCGGTCAGGGCGGGTCTGTGATGAAACACAGCTGTCAATCAACAACCGCAGGAGGGGCGTGCGACCGTGTGACGTCACACGGTCGAACGGCTCAATTTGAGACGGGAAAACATATAAGGAGATTAAAACAAAACCACTGGATAGATTTTTATCATTAAAGGTGCAATGTGTGAAAAAGTTAGGTATCTATTAGCAGAAATGCAATATGACATCCATAACTATGTTTTCAGTGGTGTATAAAGAACTTACTTAATAAACCGTAATGTTTTTATTAGATTGTGACATTTACCATAACCGCGTGAATCGCCTTCTATGAAGGTCGCCATATTGTGACGTCATCTTTCTACCGTAGCCGAACGCAAACAAACAGACAAAAATATGAAGCCGGGCACTAAAACGACACGATAAGAATCAAACGAGCAGTCTCCTTCTTGCTATAGCGATGATCGTGTCAGCATGGCTGTATCAACCGCAGCAACAACGAATCACGGCAGAGAACGAGCAATCCCCTTTGTGATGATCAGCAGAGAACGAGAGAGAGAATCCTAAAACGACAAAAGAAGATGTTACCAATCATCATACTCATCACAGTCCCAGTCATGGTTGTGTTTAAACACTTACCATCAGGATATCAAGTGAGATAGCATGCTTTCTGCACACAGCAACAACCCATAAAGCTGCACTATGATTAACAGAGATGATTCCACGTTTTGCACACCACAACAATTCCCAGAAATCATCACCTATTACAACACGTAGGTCGACACAAGCAAACAAACAGGGAAAACTTGTTTACAAGTTAGTGAGAAAGAACAGTTTATACAGATTAGTATAAGATAGAGTGATAATATAAAAGCCTTTGAAATTAATATTAAATCCATATCAAACAGGCTACAGATCTGGTAATAAAACATAAAACAAACCACTTCCTCAAAGCGGTCAGATGTGATATACAATACCTTAAAGGACAACTCTGGCGCAAAATGAACCTTTGGTCTAATTACACATTGTTACCTAGTCAACCGTTATCTGAGATTTGTTTTCATGATTGCCGAATGTAAATAGTTTTATCTCTAAAAACAGTTTAACCTATAACGCTAGTCAGTGGCGGCTGGTGAAAAATATCTTAGGTGGGGCTGTGTCATATTTGGCATTTCAATAACCACCCAGACAGCAAACTGACATTGAATCAACGTGGAAACGACGTCTCTCATGACATTGAAACAACGTTGATTTTGCTCATCGAATTAACGTTGAACCAACGTCAGACGCGGCATTCTTCAAAGCTAAATGAAAATCGAAAATTGGTTTGCTTTCATAACGTTGAAACAACGCGTTGATTTCAAGTTGATTTTCCGTTAGTTTTGAAAGAATGACGCGTCTGACGTTGGTTCAACGTTAATTCGATGAGCAAAACAATGTCAGATCAACGTTGTTTCGATGTCATGTTTCTACGTTGATTCAATGTCAGTTTGCTATCTGGGCATGGAACTCAGGTTTTTTAGCATTGTGGCATGCTCTTCCTCAAGACATCTGTCAAGAATCCACCCTTCTCTCCATCAAAAACCTCTTAAAAACACTTAAAAAAAATCTTGAATATTACTCTTTACCTCACAATCTTTAAAGGTTCCATGCTTATTTTTGTACGCTTTGATGTAGACCTCTGCCTTGTTATGGATATTGTAGGCTAATAAATTAATGGAAGTAACCTCTGAATATTACTTTCTGTCATCTTTGATGTTGAGGTTTATTTTTTTTAAAGTTCTTAACCTATATTATAAAGCGACCTGGGGTGTTGGAAAGGCTATATAATTAACAATTCTTATTATAATTAATAACCACCCAAATACATCTTAAGGATGCCAGTGCTCTGTGAAGAAGTAATTATTTAATGCCAATATTAAAAGGTTGAGCCAGTCTTGCACAAAAACAAACTAGTGCATAAACTTTCCATTTGAAATTGAACTCAAACAATATAATTAGTGATTCCTTAATTAGCTGATTAAATTAAAAAAAGTATTACTCACAACAATTTTGAGTGATTTTTCAAGCAAATATTCCACAGGTACAGTAAATGAGACTTGTCCTGACTTTAGTAGTGGTGCGCATGGGCACGGTCATGGCCGCGCGCTTGCTTGGGGCACTACAAGAATCGCCCATAGCTGACTAGATTTGAGCTCGCTGATTGGCTACAGTTTATGTCAATCATTTATATCTTAAATCAGCGATTGGCTAAGCTGCTCCAGAGACCTGCCTTCCTGGGGCGATTTCTCTATTACCCCAGAGCTGATCACGTGCTCTCTATGCGTGCACTTCAGGAAGGGGAAGTGTAGAAAAACCAGACATTTTGAATTTCTATTTTATTTTTCACATATACTGGGTGCATTTCTCCCAGTTTATCTCAAACACACTAATATTGACAATTTGTATACATGATTTATGTATTTACTTATTTATTGCATTTGGCTCATAAACTGTGGTCTGGCTCATCGAGGGAGGGCGGCGCCATAGCACCCTCTATTGGCCAGCCGCCCCTGACGCTAGTATAATGCTAGTATATAGGGCATAGAGTAATGACAAATAAAAATCGCTTGTTATTACCACTAACACGGCTTAAAATAGCCCCACACAAACACGGTAGCATAATAAGGGTCCCTAAATTCAAACCGAAGCATTGAGATCTTTGTCAGTGTCCAAACAGTTTAATAAGAAGATATTTTATACACACAGTAAACTTCACGTATACAGGAAGAAGCCATCTTTGAAAATTAGTCTCTACCAGTCGATCTACGAACACCGACCCATGTGAGCTGGTGAGATGTGAATAAGGTGATAAGGTGAGCGCAAACAGTAGGCTACATGTACATATTGAAGAGAAGAAAACGATTCGTGTTTGTGTTTCTTCCGGAAACAACGGACCATATGAGATTCTGCACAGTTCAGCGCACTTGGATCGGCATTCGTAGATCGACTGGTAGAGACTATTTTTCAAAGATGGCTTCTTCCTGTATTCGCGAAGTTGACTGTGTGTATAAAATATCTTCTTATTAAACTGTTTGGACACTGACAAAGTTCTCAATGCTTCGGTTTGAATGTAGGGACCCTTATGCTATCGTGTTACTGTGGGGCTATTTTGAGCCTTGTTAGTGGTAATAACAAGCGATTTTTATTTGTCTATGCCCTATATACTAGCATTACTCTATGCCCTATATACTAGCATTATACTAGCGTTACAGGCTAAACTGTTTTTAGAGATAAAACTATTTACATTCGGCAATCATGAAAACAAATCTCAGATAACGGTTGAATAGGTAACCATGTGTAATTAGACCAAAGGTTCATTTTGCGCCGGAGTTCTCCTTTAATACACACCTTCCTGGTGTGATATTCACATCGCCTTGGTGTAATAATTATTTATATCTTTCGCAGATGTCCGCCCTACCCCTTTGTACAAGATTTGCTGTCTTGTTACAAGATGTTTTATACCTCACTGGTACATGTTGTTTCTGGAAAAAAATAATTTTAAAGATTAAACATGAGATTTAAAAAACTGAGGATTCTGAAAATAATCCCCATTTCAGTGTGCCTTTTTTTGCTGATCTATCTAGGACGTATGACGTATTGTCCTCATAGGAAAGAGCTGGTATTGAATCACTTACTAAAGCAGGATGTTGGAGAACTACAGGCTTGTTCTGCTATTATCCAAGGAGACATGGACGGAGTGGACAAGGACATTTTCGGGAAGCTCTTGTTCTCGAAAAAAAAAAAGAGCAAATACCTGCTGTCGGAATCATTCTATCTCAACGCAACCAAGGATTGTCCATCCTACATCCAAGACAGAGGGTTTCTAATGCTTTCTCTCAGTAAAGAGGAGAAAGATTTCCCCATTGCTTACTCAATGGTGATCCACGAGAAGATTGAAATGTTTGAAAGGCTCTTAAGGGCCATTTACACTCCTGACAATGTGTACTGTGTTCATGTGGACCTGAAGTCACCTGAGATCTTTAAAGAAGCAGTTAGAGCCATTGTGTCCTGCCTGACCAATGTGTTTGTGGCCAGCAACCTGGAGAATGTGATCTACGCCTCTTGGTCTCGAGTTCAAGCGGACATCAATTGCATGCAGGATCTGCTCAAGTCACCTGTCCAGTGGAGGTATCTGCTCAACACCTGTGGCAATGATTTTCCCATTAAAACCAATGGAGAAATGATCCAGTCACTAAAACTCTTAAACGGAAAGAACAGTTTGGAGTCAGAAACCGTAAAGTCCAAAAAGGTGCGCTGGCAGTATCATCACAATGTTACGGATTTTGTGATTCGGACGGATGTTACAAAGTCACCCCCGCCAATACAGAGCCCTATGTTCACAGGAAATGCTTACTTTGTGGTTTCAAGAGAGTTTGTGGATCACATCTTTAAAAGTGAAGAGATTCAAGATTTCATGAAATGGGCAAAAGACACATACAGTCCAGATGAGCACATATGGGCTACGTTACAGTAGTTACGTTACGCTACGTTACGTTACATGCATTCAGTACCAGGATCCGACCCTCCAAACAGTAAGTACGAGCAATCAGACATGAGCTCGATTGCTCGTCTAGTGAAGTGGAGCTACCATGAAGGAGATATAAAGAGTGGGGCTCCCTACCCACCATGCACTGGGATACACAGACGGGCAGTGTGTGTATATGGAGCTGGGGACTTGAAATGGATTGTGAGGCAACACCATCTTTTGGCAAACAAGTTTGATCCAGAAGTAGATGATGTAGCAATCAAATGTATGGAGGCTTTTTTAAGGTACAAAGCTATTTATGGTCAATCATTAGTAACAATTCAAAAATCTGACATCATTTTATGATATTTTAATGACAGGTACAGTATCTATTTGTAAATTTTATTAACACTTTATTTTGATAGTCCACTTTGGACATTCTCCTAACTATAAGTAACTTTGCAGCTAAAGCTCAACTAACTCTCATTAGAGGATTAGTAGACTTTCTACTTAATATTTGCTAACACTTTATTTTGTTGGTCCCTCAACATGGCAACTACAAGTCAACTTATTCTACTAACCCGAACCTTGACACCGAACCATAACCTAACAGTCTACTACAGTCTACTAATACTCTAATGAGAGTTAGATGACATTTAGTTGAAAAGTTACTTATAGTCAGTAGAATGTCTAAAGTGGACTGTCGAAAACAAAGTGCAACCATATATTGTTCTAAATATTATAGGAATCTTTTTTTTATGGATATGAATGTAAATGTAATAAAGTATATAACATTTATATATTTGAAGTTATATTAATAGGATGATGTAAATCTTCAAATACTTTGAATAAAATTAGTCATTTGTGTTTAAAAATGATCTGTATAATTTAGAGAAGTTCTCTTTGTGTTACAAATAATACTTCATATAAACCAACAGATTTGGAAATGGCTTAACATTAATAGATCATATATTTATAAAATGAAACCTTTCAGTAAGTAACGAGAGAGAGAGTTTACGAAAGACAAATTTCTGAAGACTAAAGTCGTAGAAATTAGTAAGAGGATCCAGCCTTGAACTAACTAAAGACACAGAAACACAAGTACTTATACCCTAGTGAAAAATAAATACAGAAATGTATTTTAAATAAATGTATTTTATGATAAGTATACTACAAATACATTTAAATATTGATGTACTTAACATAAATACTCTGCAATTGTATTTTTGTTATATTAAACTGGTACAGTATATGAAGAGTTCAGATGCAAAAGCCTCTAAATGCCATTTGAAATTTTCTTCTAAAATGACCATTTTTATCAAGCTTGTATATTTAAGTTCAGTAATTTCACTTAAATGACAATTAATAGGTAATTATCATTGCCATTTAAGTGAATTTACTGAACTTAAATATACAAGTTTGATAAAAATCATCATTAAAGAAGAAAATTTCAAATGGCACTTAGAGGCTTTTGCATCTGAACTCTTCATATGTAAAGTCTGCTTGATTGGAACAAGGGTCCCACTAAAGATATACATATGTTTATTTGATTTTGCTAAAGTGAAACTATTGCAAGTATACTTAAAGGGATAGTTCACTTTGAAATAATTTTTTTAAATGTTTTAGCTTACCTCAAGGGCATCCAAGATGTAGGTGTCTTTGTTTCCACAGTATTTTCAATTTTGACATTTTTCAGTCAAACCGTTCTTGTCTATCAGTCATACACTGGAGGCTAAGGGGGTCCACCAAAAAGCATGCACAGAGAAGTCAAAATTAAACATGATTTAATGATTCGTAAATGTAAGTACACATTGATGGCCTAAGACACGAAATGTTTTTTTGTGAGAAAACAAACAGTATTTATATAGTTTTTACCTCGTGTAATCACTAGGGCTGAACAATTAATTGCATTTGCGATAATTTCGCGATATGATGAAACGCGATTTTGTAATCGCAAAAGCTGCGATTACTGGTCATGTGACAAGCGAGATAAAAGCAGTTTGGCATGCTACGCAAATAGCTTTGGCATACAGAAAAGAACAGTTTATTTTTAATGATATTGTGTTTCTCTCCCCAACAATTCTGGATTGATTCAGAAAATTTCAGAATCGAGTCTGAGCTTAGTTTTTGAACACATATGCGTGGTGACGGTGCGTGTGCTTTAGAAACAACCGTGTTCTGCTTGCTTCTCTCTCGTTCTCTTTCTCTCTCACTCACTCACACACACACACACACACACACGAGACCGCTCGAACCTTCCGAAACAGGACATTTGCGGGCTTCATTGCACAGGTTTTGCCGCTTTGCTTAATGTTATAACGTTACTCTTGCAGTGCGCGTTCTCTCCTGTGGGAATTTTCCTTACAAATGCTTCACAAAGGCATTATTTATGACTTTTGGAATGCAGTTGGCTTATATATTAAAAATATGAAAATCACAGAGAAGGCTGCTTTCGTTTTAAAAAACTTACGTGCGCTTTGTGAAGAGCGCTCGTGCATGTGGCCGTGAACGACTCATTGGTTAAACGTACTTGCATGTCAAAATGCTTTTATGACGCAAAATTAATGCAAACACGGTCGTCAGTTATATCTTAAACTAACTGGACAAACCTACTGTGGCCGAGAGAGTTCAGCGTTTTGCAACCTAAAGAAGACGCATGCAAACACAAAAAAACGTGTGCAAATATAAAAACGCATGCAAATACAAAAAAACCCATCCACAAATTAAGAAAAACATCTTCATCAGTTCCACAACAGATGTGTGCTCCAAGTACTCACAACACAACCAAATACACAAAACGCGCTGCAAAACCTCACAACACAACCAAATACAGAAACGCTGCAAGTAACACAGAGCACAATGGAAACGTTTCCGGGGAACCAAATAAGTGACGGACCCAACTGGGACTTGCTTATTGCTCGTGAGCTTCCCTATGCCCTACTCCCTTCAAAGGGCAGACGGCAAAGCTCTTCAAGTGGGAATTTCCCAGATAGCAAACTGACATTGAATCAACGTGGAAATATGACATTGAAAAAATGTTGATCTGACATTGTTTTGCTCACCGAATTAACAGTTGAACCAACGTCAGAAGCGTCATTCTTTCAAAACTAACGGAAAATCAACTTGAAATCAACGCGTTGTTTCAACGTTATGAAAGCAAACCAATTTTCGATTTTCATTTAGCTTTGAAGAATGCCGCGTCTGACGTTGGTTCAACGTTAATTCGATGAGCAAAATCAACGTTGTTTCAATGTCATGAGAGACGTCGTTTCCACGTTGATTCAATGTCAGTTTGCTGTCTGGGTTGGCGTGAGCATGACACTAGTGTGTCATTTATGTAGCCGTTTGGAAATTGATGAAGGGAGCAACAATAGACAACGTAATGTAATTATTTTTACGTAGGATGTTCCTACGAAAACGCAGCACTTTGTCCATCAGCTGTATAGCTGTTCTGACGACTATGACTCTAACGGTTGCGAATATTTTTATATTTATTTATTTATTTTTACTTTATAAAAATCTGTTAAAATATCTGTTTTATATATCTGTATGTCAGTGCCATACATTACCTAACATTTTTAGGAAACTTTTCTTGTGAAAATGTAAACATAAAATGAAACTATTTGTATAGTGTAACTGATGTATAGATTAATATCTTGCCTTCATGTTCTTTTTTTATTTATTTAGTTTAGTTTTCAGATCATTGTTCTTTTCTCATTTGTATTGTGATGACATTGAACATATTGTTAACACATGTTGTATATTGTACACAAGTTGTATGTCATAATAATTTGAATCTCTGTGTTTTGCGGGGGGGGGGGGGGGGGGGGTCAAAAGACAGTAAATAAAATAAAGTAGAATTTTGAGTAAGCAAGGAGTATAGATGGACTATAAAAAATTATAATATTATTTATATATACAATATTATTTTAATAGTATACTTTATTTAGAAAAAATATAGGCTTTGACTTCTTGTCAATAAAGGTTTTTTGCTGTAAGCACGTCCTGTGTATGCTATGAACACGTCCCAGTCGGGTCCGTCACTTATTTGGTTCCCCAGAAACATTTCCGTTGTGGACCATGTTATTTGCAGCGCGTTTCTGTATTTGGTTGTGTTGTGAGTACTTGGAGCACACGTGTCTTGTGGCACTGAACCGAACTGAATCAGTTCAATGTTACGCCAGAAGTGATCGCTTGCGTGTGACGTCACTCAATATTTACACGGAGATTTCGGAAGTTTTACCTTTTACTAAACATATTTAGATATACCGAAATCGTCTTCCATTGCGGTTTCCCGTATATCTAAATATATTTAGTGAAAGATAAAACTTCCGAAATCTCTGTAAACAAAGAGTGACGTAGGCGCGCAAGCGATAACTTCCGGCGCATGCGCAGACCGAAGCGCCCGTGCCGTCAGATCATTTTGTCATGGCTATGATTACAAGAGGTAAAACGATATAAATACTGTTTGTTTTCTCACACAAACCGCTAGTTTCGTGTCTTAGGCCATCAATGTGCACTTACATTTACGAGTCATTAAATCATGTTTAATTTGGACTTCTCTGTGCATGCTCTTTGGTGGACCCCCTTAGCCTCCAGTGTATGACTGATAGACAACAACGGTTTGACTGAAAAATGTCAAAATTGAAAATACTGTGGAAACAAAGACACCTACATCTTGGATGCCCTTGAGGTAAGCTAAAACATACCAAAAATTAATTTCAAAGTGAACTATCCCTTTAAGGTACACTTTAAATATCTTGCATTAAAATTATACAGTGATCATACAATCCTTACTAATAGTGATATTAAACACATAGGTTCAATTTTAAGAAATATTCATTATGCAATACAGAAGAACTCCAAATAAAGTTTAATTATAATATTTAAGTATCAAGCAATATGTCAGTGAATATATTAATGGGTTTGTAGTATAGTTAGGTATGAAACACATGTAGGCCTATTTTAAATACATATAAAGTAGTATATCTGCTGATCAAGAGAGCTGGTTCAGTTATTGGTCTTAAATAGGGATGCACAATATATCGACCACATATCAATATCGGCCGATAAATGGTCTTTTTTGATGTTATCGTTATCGATCCGATAAGAAAATTGGGCCGGTATATCAACGCCGATAAATAATAGATTATTTACTTCAGTTGAGAGAAGCACGCTGTTCTCCATGATGGTTCTGAATGATTGGATTCACTTCGAAAAGGAAGGTACAGTTCAGTGCAACATGTACAGTACAAATCTGTCACATAGGCTTCATAACATTATAATAAAAACAAGCATGCAAAAGAATGTTGTGAATTCTTGTTCGCCAGTGTTTCAGCGTGACGAGCGCGTTGTGGCGGAAAGAATGCGTCTGTGGAGTTAGCCTTCATGACAAGCACAGACGCTGCACAGTCAAGTTCTCTTGAGCATTCACAGCATTCTGTGCCGTTGTAAGTTTTAATATGTTTATTTTGTGTATATAGGCCTATATATCTGATTAATCTAATATAGGATGCGTTTGGTTGAGTTAATGAATGACGCGCGCTTCATTGTACTAGTTATCATCTTTATCGTGCGCGCAGCTCAAACAGCAATGCACTTTTATAACTATAATTGGGACTATCATATACATGCCAGTATAATGAGAACACTATTGTATTTGTAATAAAACGTTGTGAATTCTCTGGGTTTAGTTGCCGTTTCAGCGCGTTGTTGTGGGAATAGCGTGTCCAGAACAGGGATTAGCTACACATTATGACCAGCACAAGTTCGATTGTGCATTCACGTCCTTTTGTGCAGATAAGTCGTAATATAAAGCTGATGTAATATAAATATGTGATTAATCTCACATATGCGTTTCGTGGATTTAAGCAATTTAGAAAAGTTCTTCAGTTTCCCGGTGCTCGTTAGCTTCAGCGCGCTCAGATTAAACAATGCAAAACATTAAAAGCTATGATTTGCACTATGATTTGTCATATAATTATATTTACCATTGTAATACATTTGTAAATTCTTTGGCTTTTTATTTTATTTTATTCCAAATTTTTATTTAACAACTCTAATCGTAGTTGTAACTATATTTACAGTAGGCATAATTGTCATTGTGTATGCATATGCAGCACGAGTCAATTCTTCTGTTCGATGCATTTCATTCATTAATATGACTATGCATCCGTGCATTTAATTGGCATTGGCTCGTGTGATTAGTAATATGGATCTTAGTAGTATTTTAAGAGATGTAATTGATTCAATAAACATCTATAAGAGATCATTCTAGGCTTTCTTCAGCTCCCTGCACCAGGCGAATGCGAAACCGGAAGTGTCAATCTGCACACTCGCCTGTGTCTTATTCTTGTGACAATGACCCTTACTTCTATCCTACTTCTATCTTTTATTAAATGAGATCACATTGTATGGGCACTTATAAAAAAATAAAATCAGATCCAAAAGCATGCACATCCACAGAAAATCACTCAAGTTGGGTCCTCAAAAGTCGGCACACCTCGGCTCCAAAATTGTGAAAAATATAATCAACTCACACACAGGTGGTAACGTTTCAAGCACGTAGGCTCTTCATCAGACAACTAAACGTTAAACACTTCCCGGCTTTATACTCACAGGTGACCCTAGGTGACTATAAAGGTGTGCCGACTTTTTCCCCCTTTTTTACACATTCATAATATGAACTGTTTAACCTCAAATGCAAGGCATTGATTGCACGAGATTAGGTTTGTCTGTATGAGTTTGTAAATGGCAGCCTGTGCCCTTTTGTAGTGTATAGTTCAGAGCATAGGTTCGGAGTTGGAGCCCACCGATGCACGTTTGAAAGTTTGGATGACAACCAAGGTAAGCAGAATCAGATAAAATGGTGTGCCTTATCACTAGTGACGCAGTCTTGCCTTATCAGTCAGTCTTGCCAATTGCTCAATAAAAATAGGCTCATGGTACAAATTACGTTTTTGCAAATCGGGCGAGTGGCATTTTAAAATTCCCCAAATTATCAAAGGTTGTCCAGATTGTGTTGAGCCTGCCACACTCAAATGCGGATGCTGAGCGACCCTTTTCAGTTATTGGCCTAAACAAGACTGACCCCACAGACTGTCACTGTCAATTGATGGCACCCTGTGATGGGTAGTTTGGATTATTTTACTGACTCGCTTGTTCAATCTCGTTTATTAAAATGAACGAATGATTTTTCGAGTCATTGCATTTATTTAAAGGGCTTTATTTAAACACATGCACCTATGCAGTCTTTATCATATTCCGAAATAAGAAAAATCATTATAATGCAGTCAAAAATAATTTGCAGGGAATGTAAATAATTACTTCTTCCGAGTACTACCTTCCGAGTCTTTCGTTCATTTGTCACGTGACAGACGCAATGAACAGATTATTCATGAACGGATCCAAACCTGCTTCAGATACAAACCTTTTCTAGAGGCAGTGAAGTAAACTGCCACTGTGGCATATATAGCAGGCCTAATTTGTGAAACTTGTGTGTTGTGGTTTTCTGGGGAGGTGGAGTAACTTCTGTATGTCAAGTCAAGTCACATTTATTTATATAGCGCTTTTCACAATACAGATTGTATCAAAGCAGCTTCACAGTGATAACATGAAAGTAGCACAACACAGATCAACAACATTGCTAAACACTAAATAACCCCAATGTATGTGTCCCTTTTGTTTTGAGATTTTCGCGTACGGAAATTTTACAGTCTCACTCCAGCCAAAGTCGGCAACCATTCTGTTAATTGTTGAATATTATTCTTGTTTTATAAAGTGTTTATTTTTTTATATTTTTGAACTGCGAAATTGAATCTTCAAATTGTCTCCTAATCAGGGTGTATTAGTCTCCTAATGCAGAATTATTTATCTGTTTATCTGTTATTTGTGTACTGTGTTTGATGGCTCTATGGTTGGTGGAAAACCAGTTTCCCTATCAGGATTAGTCATCAAATTAAAAGTACAGCATCATGAAGTTGTAAAAATGTATAACCCTAATCTACAACCTTTAACCAATTTATTGCTTACAACACGAACAGTAAAGCATTTGTGTGTTTTGAAGAATAAATAAAATTATAGCGGATGCATTCAGTACCAGGATCCAACCCTGCAAACAGCAAAGTACAAGCAAGTCAAGTCAACTTTATTTATATAGCGCTTCTTGCAATACAGATTGTAACAAAGTAGCTTCACAGTGATAACATGAAAATAATACAACAAAGTTTGTTTCTAGAAGAAAATTGCGTCAATGTCCGCCTTAAAGTTGTGAGCAGAGAAATTCAGTAGGCTACACACACACATAGGCTATAAACTGTATTTCACTGATGAAGGTAAAGAGCCTTTGTTATCTTTATCTCCTGTCTATAAAAAACAACTATGAATGGGAAAATTCCCAGGTGATGATAATAAGCAAATAGGGAATAAGGAAAGACATTATCTTTCATCGCTCCCTTCACCAAGTGCGTTCCAAACGGCTACATAATATCACGCAAGTGTCCCGCTCACTTCAAATTCTCCACTTTGAGGACTCACTTCCATTTGGAATTTGCCCTCACTATAATGCTATCATTCACTTATGTGTGTTATATTCACCTGCAAATAACTAAAGACACTTGACACTTACCTCATCTCTCTCTCTCAAAGTCTGTCACATCCTAACAATTTTTCCATAATCTGCAGACATTCTTTAATGCTTTAGGTCAATAATTTAAAGTTTATTTATTCCATTTGCATAGATTGAAAGTGTTGATACCAAGCAGCTTCCCGTAGTTTCATAACCTTATGATTACATGACATTATATTCTAGAATATCAACATGCCTGTAAAAACACTCCTTCTGATTGACCCAATGGGAAATGAACGTTCTTATGAACATAAAATTCTGCGGAACTGGAGGTAAACTTGTTAGAACTGTTTCATCTTATATTTATTTATTTTTATCCTATTCAATTTAAAACAGTACAAATGTCTCGAAGACATTCTAGGAATTTTATTTAACTGAGGTGTGATTAGCAAACAGCCCAGTGGCAAGACCCTGAAGCAGGACCCGCAGATGGATTCCGGCAGTGGTGGAGTTATGAGATAGAAATATATTTGCACAAATGGCTTCAGGTCTGGAAATGTTATAATGAACATAATTAAATCATCTGTCAATTAATGTTTCATTGTACTGAACAATAGGAACAATCAGCAATGTTCAGACTAAATAAAAGTAGCCTACACAGTTGGAAAAAAAAACTTTGGCGGGGGGTGGGGGAGGGGGGATGGTACATTTATCTGTACCAAACATAATTTGAACAAGGTTATTTAACAGTCTGCACTGCATAAATTATAAAAGAAATATAGATTAATCCTTATCAAAGCTACGAGCGTTCTTTAGTCAAGTGCAGTTAGTGATTTTCTCTGTTTTTTAGTTTACCGTTAAGGCCATTGCACACTGAGCACGAAATATTCGTATGCGTATTTTCGTGTTCGTCAGCTTAAAAATTCTTCACGCATAGAAACCTTGCACACCGAGTCCGTTGCGTATTTCTTAAACGGGAAAAAACGCAAAAATACCAAATGGATTCGTCAAGCAGTGAGGATGATTTTTGCCCTCTCTTATTGAAAAGGGAAGAAAGAGAAAATATTACGTCCATCCAATCCTGAAATTGCGCCGAGAGGAAGGAGAGTTCCTTATCAAGGAGTTGCGAATTTATTCAAGCGATTCAAAATTTACCTCAGAATGTCAGTGGGACAGTTCGATGCTTTGCTAGCGATTCTGGAGCCACATTTTAAAAACAAGACCACCGATTTCCATGAACCAATCGATTCTGAACGGAGACTGGGAGTGTGTCTGAAATGGACCAGGTATGGACACACACACACACGGACAAACACACACCCGCGCGCGGCCCGTTGGAAGCGCTGGGCAGACAGAACAGGCTGTTATTGTGTATACTCAAATAATACATAAGTTATCGAATAGGCTGCTCAATCACACCTTATTCGATCCTAAATTTCAATCTGATTGAAAGGGGAGGTTTATTAATTTCATAATCCAATATAGAGAAGAGAACATAAACACTTGATCTAATTGAAAACCGAAACTGAAAGCACGACGCATATGTGCAATGATTTGAGGACGAGCTCCCCCCGGCCCTGAATTGTCAAAAGACCTCTCAAAATGCTGGCTCTGGATGCGAAAAACGCAGAAAATCGAACCCGATCCGATTAATTTTATGACGGACGAAAGTTTCGGAGGCGGTGTGCAAGCGTGACTGACATAACGTGAGGTCGAATTTTTTTTTTAACGTGCGAAAATTTCGGATGCGAATTTCGGACTCGGTGTGCTATGGCCTTTACTCAGACAGAATGGCTCCTGTCCTGTCACTTTAAGATCTGCCGCTGCTGACAGGATCTCAAGCATCTCATTCTCTCTCTACTATTTCCATTTAAGATTTTATTTTACTCATTTAAGACTGTTCTTGAGAGGATACTCAACAAAATGGACATTCTGGCATACATGTGTGTGTTATTGTTCGTTCTTGCATGATTGAGAACTCGATACTGGCACGCGTCTTTCTGTACTGTATGTTGTGTGTGTGTGTGTGTGTGTGTGTGTGTCAGGAGGACATTGACTGAAAGCGCGTTCTCTTTTGTCTTGTCGTGAAGGAATGGTAAAACTTCACACACATTTGTGTGAATAAGAACGTGATCATAATCCTAGCTAAAATGATGACAGTAAGAAATAACTGATGGATTGCCTTTAAATACTTTCAAACGTTAAAGCTGGACAAAAATGAATGGCGGTGAAGACCCCTCGGGCGGCCACGGCGGTGAAGACCCCTCGGGCGGCCGTGGCTGGGACACTGGGATCTTCACCGCCGTGGCCGCCCGAGGGGTCTTCACCGTCATGGTCGCCGGAAGGGTCTTCACCGTCATGGTCGCCGGAAGGGTCTTCACCGCCGTGGCCGCCCGAGGGGTCTTCACCGCCGTGGCCACCCGAAAGGTTTTCACCGCCTTGGCCGCCCGAGGGATCCTCACCGCCGTGGACGCCCGAGGGTCCGACAGCTCCGCCTTGGCCTTCGCCTCATCCTACTTCGGCCATGTTCTGCGGCCCAGGTCCGCCTTTGCTACCTCCTGGTTCCGTTTCTCTTCTGCTCCACGGACCTGGGGGCGGGGTCGAGAATTAGCAGACAGGACCATGGAGAATACACAGTGGGAATCCGGGAAACAGGCAGAGGTCAGGGCAGGCAGCAGTAATCAAAATCCAAGAACAATCCAACGTCAACAACCAGAAAACAAACACGGAAAACGCTCAGAAATGCAGTGTAACACTTAAACAAGACTTCGCAAACACTGAACATGAACACAAGGTATATATAGACACACTAACAGGATGAGACACAGGTGAATGCAATCAGTGAATGAGGTACAGGTGAATGTGATCAGTGATGATGAGTCCGGGCAGTGAGTTCTGGGAAATGTAGTTTGTGTGAAACATAGTCTTATCTGGAGTGCCCTCTGGTGGCTCAAGAGGGCACTCCAGCTGGTAACCGTTACAGAGACTCTCATAACTAAAAAGATGTTTGAGCCCTCTTTATTGTCCTGGTACAAATCAATGCTTTTTCTTTGTTCAACGAGCAGTTCATGGGTTGAAGCTCTTAATTTTGATCTCTCAGAGAGCACGAGATTGATGCATTTAACCTTAAAATGTCCAAAATTTTCTTGCGCGGGAGCATGCCCCTCAACCCCCCTAGAGGCACAGAGTCCACCCAACATCAATTCCTATGGGAAAGAATGACCATTTATGAACTTTACTCCAGCATAGTACAACAAAGTTCCTTTTAAATCAGTAAAACTGTAAATGCTATCGGCTATTAAAATCGTGCCGGCGATGAGGGCCGGTGGTCTACGAAATTTCCTGGTAGATTTTTTGGTCACACTCCACCCCTGATGGCAGCAATTAACACAAGTTCAAATAAATGAGTAATGAAAATCTTTATTTAAGAACAGTGTGTCTGTGTGTCAATGAACATGTCAGAGCATAACGTGTGTGTGTAAGTAAACATTCCAGAACATAATAACGTGTGTGTGTGTACTGTATGTGTTGTGAGTGTGTAAAGAGGTCCAGCTAGATAGGAGGTCCAGTTGAAAATTTCTGCATGAAAAGCAGAGATAACTTTAGCACCATTATTCACATTTTATTAAAAAATCTTTATTAAAAATAATAATAATAAAACAGATCTTCAAAACTCACAATGAAATTCAGCTTTAAAAATTAGCTGGTGGATTTTCAGCTTAGTGAGTTCCCTGCATTTAGGCTTGTTGGGGAATTTTAATCTCACATGTATTACATATGATCAGTGGGTCTTGAGTTTCTATCTGTTTACCTCCTATAGTAATGTCTTATTGTTTTCTATCCGTGAAGGAGGTAATTTGTCTTTCCGTTATCAAGAGTGGAGTGAGGTACCAGAGAACCGGCCGGGTCAGAGGTCATCTTAGACTGGGAGAATAGAGGGGGTTAGCGGTAAATCTAACCTAGCATTTGAATCCATTGCTTGTGGAATTTTACGGGGAGGCTTGGCCTGTAGTAAATAACCTTGGGGAGGGCTATTTAGTCTTCACCCCGGCCTGTGTTCTGGGCGTCACTCTCTTCACAGTGTACCAATCTGTGTTAGCGACTGGGCCTATTCTTGCAAGAATAAACTTCTCTTTTCTTTTATTAATTTGACTCTGAAGTGTCTCTTACGCAGCGATGTCTGTTTTATTGAAATTTTGCCTTAACAGGCTCAAGTCCCTTCAGGGCTGGCAGCAAACTTTGCAGAAACTGCATATCAGGATCTCCTGATCCAGCAGGGGCAGGACAGTTGGATGTTTGTATGGCTTCAAACGATTGTCCGCTCAAAAGAAGACATGGATCCTGCCTCAACTCTCCTCCGGCGTTGTCGTGGCTGGACAAAGTCTTTTCCACTCTGCCTCTTTCTGCTCTCCTCTCCAGCCATGTCCTCTCCCGAACAGTCCATCCTACTCTCTTCTGCACTGATCTCTACTATGTCTGTTGTGTCCTGTCCTAACTGATTTTCTTGAACATGTATTACCTCTGCCATCACTTCTGCTGCACTGTCTCCCTCATTTATTCTACCTTCT